ATATATATTTATATATGGGCTATTAAAATGATTGAATTGAAGGAAGACAAATTGTATTTAAGAATAATATTGATTATTGTCTTGACATTAATTATTATCCTTACATATATAAGACAAAGGTGATGAGTCAATCTTGGTGGGAAGAGATGAAAGCATGATTGAGGACTTACATATATATATATATGTATATATATGTTTAAAGTGAAAGATGTTTAGATTTTATTAGTACATTAAATATTATATATATATATATATAGCACTCTTCAAAGGGATTTATATTTATTTGATAAGTAGAAAATATAGCTAAAATGATTCAACCAAGCGGCCATACTCCCATTCCCATGCGTACTTTATTTAAACAATAAACGTAAGGAGGCTTAAATATGTTATCTTCTTATGAGGAGTGGTAGAAAAATGGGGGCGCTATGTTGACCTCATAAATTAATAATAAGATACGTAACTAGCTATTAGCAAGAGTATTATACATATTTTTCTAGTGCTTCGGGTTGGCTACAATTTTTATGCATAATATATAACGACTTGTGGCAAAGTAGAAAGAAGCATTTGCTTTAATATTGCCTGCATTTTTTAATTTTTTTTGTTCAAAATCGCACTGCACGCGATAGATTTTGCTTATAATAAATTTCTTTAACTTTAGTAATGTTGACTTCTCAAAAAACAATTTTTTTTTTGAAAGATGAATGCTTAAGATAGTGTCAGCAAGCAAGCAACGTTATTTAAGAAAATAAAATTATAGAACAAACAAACTACTCGGATGAACCCAACCAAAGTCATTCTTCAGAGCTGCGGAGCTTCTTCTACCGGCCAGCTCGCTATGTTCTGGCAAACCCAAGGGAGGCTCTTCGGCTCTTCTGCTTCTCTCTCTCTCTCTCTAAACCTCAAGCTCAACAGGGATTCGAACCCTTGATCTCTTCTTTGCGTGCTAAGCTTTGTCACTGATTCTACATTACTTTGTTGCTCCTCAACTATTGATTTTCTTCTCTTCTCTTCTTACTCTGGGAGCCTCCTGTTTCTATTTTACTTTTTGGCTAGGGCAGTGGTTAGTGGGCAGTAATAACCTTATACTGTTCCCATCGATAGCATTTTTCCTTTAATTAATTACATAAAAATTTCCTTCGCAATCCTTGCCGCCCATTCTAATATATATGTAGCCAGTAGCCGCCCTCCTCTCCACCCACACCATACTGCCTTTCCTTCTTTACCTGGAGCTCATAAACTTCAATGCAAGCTAAAAATTTTCTCCTTTTGCGTTCGGATCCACTTCTCTTGTCCATTCAAGATTCTATTCTCTTCTCCATAGAAACACTCTATTGGGTATTCTGGATTTTGAAATGCCGTTTTTCCTTCTGCTCATTGCTCTGATGAGCAGAAGCTTGCCCTTCTCTTGTATATCGATTTAATTATAAATATAAATATTTATGTTGGTGTCTTCATGAATGTTCTTTCATAGGCAAGCATAAGGTCGGGCCTTTTGGAATTCATTATAGAGCATAGAGCATTTCCATTGTAAATACTTGGGCGGCCAAAGGATAGATCCTTGTCTTTTAATCTGAATATTCTTAAGCGCTCGCATCTGCTCTGCTAAGAGGTAAATAGAAGCATGGAGGAGACTTTTGTGCCTTTCCGTGGAATCAAGAATGACCTTCAAGGGAGACTGATGTGCTACAAGCAGGACTGGGCTGGAGGATTCCGAGCAGGCATCAGGTACTTATTCATCATCATGGAAGCTTTTTTTTTTTTAGTTAATTAATTATTGGATTCATAGTTTAAATTTGATTTCACTTTTCTTTTCTTATTTTCTTTTGTGTGCAGAATATTGGCTCCCACAACTTACATATTCTTTGCTTCTGCAATACCGGTCATATCATTTGGGGAGCAATTGGAGAGAAGTACTGGTAAGCAGCACCTGAAATTCAATTTTAAGGCAACCTCAAAATACATTTTGGTTACTAACAGCCTGATTTTACCTGTGGAAAGTGATTGATATAATTCAAATGAAAACTTTGGACAGATGGGGTTCTAACTGCTATTCAAACCTTAGCGTCCACTTCACTCTGCGGGATTATACACTCACTCATTGGAGGTCAGCCTTTACTGATCCTTGGAGTTGCTGAGCCAACGGTGCTTATGTACACATTCATGTTCAATTTTGCTAAAGATAGAGCAGATTTAGGAAGAAATCTATTTCTAGCATGGACTGGATGGTAAGCTATAAAATGACTGTTCTATGTGAAAAATAATAGGCAAAACATTATTTTGGAGGTCATCTAAACTTATCTAGTGTTGTTTGGGATGTCAGGGTGTGTGTGTGGACTGCTTTCCTGCTCTTCTTGTTGGCTATTCTTGGTGCATGCTCAATTATCAATAGATTTACGAGAGTTGCCGGCGAGCTATTCGGTATGCTGATTGCTATGCTATTTATGCAGCAGGCAATTAAAGTAAGCACAGATTCCATCTATCTTTTCTTGCTTTTAAGTTCTGGCATTTGGAAAACCATACCATATATTAGTGGTTAAACCTCATTCAACACTAAATAACATTAGCAGTTTTTTTTTTTTTTAAATTCAATTTTATTGGAGCAGCTAACATGGTAAAATGGATGTTGACTTGCATGTGGAGAAACTTATATAAGTAGAGTTAATTAATGTAATGGCTTCATGTTACTATGTTATAGGGACTTGTGGATGAGTTTCTCATACCAAAAAGAGAGAATCCCAAGTTATTGGAGTTTATTCCATCTTGGAGGTTCGGCAATGGGATGTTTGCTTTGATTCTGTCATTTGGTCTTCTGCTCACAGCATTGAGAAGTAGGAAGGCTAGATCGTGGCCATATGGTTGTGGTATGTCTTTAATATATAGCAATTTTGCAATTTTGAAAGAAGAAAAAAAAAAACGTTCACATGAGCCTTTTTTCCTTTTATTTTTGTATCAAGATTTTCTGATAAGTTTTATATCATGATAAGAACACAATAATCAAATTTAGAAGAAAAACACTTTTAAGTTAGAAAACGTTAGATTTTTTTTTTTTTTTTGGAAGACAAAAAGTATTTTTCTATTATTATTTAAATGTTTTCTAGCTTTAAGCATTTTTTTTGGTAGAATATTATTCCCCGTTTTATGCACTGTCATTTTAATTTAGACTTTTGAAGTTAAAGGGGAACAAATAATTGTAGGTTGGTTGAGAGGCTTCATTGCAGACTATGGGGTGCCGCTGATGGTTCTAGTATGGACTGCAGTTTCTTATATACCAGCTAGTAGTGTTCCTAAAGGAATTCCTAGACGCCTTTTCAGTCCAAATCCCTGGTCACCTGGTGCATATAAAAACTGGACAGTTATCAAGGCATCTATTCTTGATCCTCCGTTTAAATTAATGAGCAATTTTGTAGACTGTATATACTATGTCTTGCTCCATTACTATTTGAAGTTAACCAATCAAAAATATTAAACAAAACAGGAAATGTTGGATCTTCCGGTTCTCTACATACTTGGAGCTTTCATTCCTGCTGCAATGATCGCAGTCCTCTATTATTTTGATCACAGTGTAGCTTCTCAACTTGCACAGCAAAAGGAGTTCAACTTGAGAAAACCGCCATCATTTCATTATGATTTACTTCTTCTAGGCTTTTTGGTAATTTTTTTTTCTCAACTCCCTTTCATGGTTTCCTATTTTAATTCCTAGAAAGACACCATCGTAAGCTCTATAATATTTTCTAGAAAGAAAGGTAAAAATGCATGTATCTGTGAATTTTGGTCATGTTTTAGCATTATCTAAGTAAAGGCTCATATCATATCTCTACACCTTTTTCCTATAGACTTTACTATGTGGCCTATTGGGAATACCCCCATCAAATGGTGTCATCCCCCAATCACCAATGCATACGAAGAGCTTGGCTACTCTCAAACATCAGGTAAACTGCAAAATAGTTGGAAAAATCACATATTTCATTAAATGCCTCCTAAATCCGTCTAAATATGTTGTAATCTTTCTATTCTGAAGCTCCTGCGCAACCGCCTAGTAGCCACTGCCCATCAAAGCATGAACCAGAATTCTAGCTTAAGCCAAGTATATGAAAACATGCAAGAAGCATATCAGCAATTGCAAACACCACTGATCTATCAGGAACAATCTGTTCGGGTATGACAAGTTCTGCCTTCTCCTTTTTTGCATTGCTTGTGATGGTCTCCGATGAATTGTCACAGTAGAAAAAATATTATTACATTCAGGGATTGAATGAGCTGAAGGAATCTACCATCCAATTGGCTTCGAGCTTAGGAAGTATTGATGCGCCTGTGGACATGTCGGTTTTTGATGTTGAAAAGGAGATTGACGAACTACTACCTGTCGAAGTCAAAGAGCAACGTCTTAGCAATTTGCTGCAGTCCGCCATGGTAGGATGCTGTGTTGCAGCCATGCCGATCCTTAAAAAGATTCCGACTTCTGTGCTGTGGGGTTACTTTGCTTTCATGGCAATAGAGAGCTTACCTGGTAACCAGTTTTGGGAGAGGATCCTCCTACTCTTTACAGCACCAAGTAGAAGATATAAGTACTGAATTATCCCTTACCTTACTTTTCCTTACCATTTTTAAAGTTATCCCACGCCATGCCATTACTGATTAAAAGTTGTGCCATTCAGAGTGCTTGAAGATTATCATGCAACCTTTGTGGAGACTGTGCCCTTCAAGACAATTACTGCTTTCACTCTCTTCCAGACTGCTTACCTGCTGGTATGCTTTGGGATCACTTGGATTCCTATTGCAGGAGTCCTTTTCCCCCTCATGATCATGCTTTTGGTACCTGCAAGGCAGTATCTTCTTCCCAGGCTCTTTAAAGGTGCACACCTGACAGATTTAGATGCAGCGGAGTATGAGGAATCCCCGGCTCTCCCATTCAATCAAGCAATGGTGACTTTATCTTTCTCTTTCTTGTTTAGGGTTTATTCTTCCAAATTATGTTGTTCCTATTATTACATCGATCGTTGCTCCTAGCAGGAGATGGAAAGAGGCATCATGAGAGCATCCTTTTCTCATAGTGGGGAGATTCTTGATGAGATAATCACCAGAAGCCGTGGTGAGGTTAAGCATATGAAGAGTCCCAAAATGAATAGCTCGACGGCTACGCCGACGAGAGATCTGAAAGGCTCGAACAGCCCCAGAATATCAGAGAAAGGATTTAGTCCTCGGGTCAGTGAATTGAAGCAGGAGCAAAGCCCTCGACTTGGTAGGAGAGCATCATTCAGCCCTGGTACTGCAGAATTAAGGCTTTCAAACTTGGGACAGGGATCTCCAGTAACAAGGAAAGAACATCATCCTATATAATAATATTTGGGGAATCAGCCATGGCCCATACCTCTACTACTACTATTGTTCTTCTCTTTCTTGCTATTGCTAACTTTGTTCACATATAACTGAACATTATATGCTCTTTGTCTTTCTATCTTGTGCAACTGTAAATCTCTAGCTTTCATTATTATTATTAAATTTTTTCTTACCACTGAGAGGAATTTCTTTCTTCTTTACTGCTACGGCAATTAAATAGCTGGATGGATCTGAAGACGAGACATCAAATTTTAAATGGAGAGTATAATGATAATTCTTACATTTGTAAACTTTAGCTCCTTCACATTTCACAACGCGGCACATTCACGCAGTTGCCATAATCCCGTTCGCAATAAATCAACGGCTGGTGTTTTTTCTTATTTTTTATTAAATAAATTATGAAAAAACCAGAATTTTTTCACCTCGGCAACATAATCAATAAATCCTACTGCAATTCGCAAAGCAAATTAATAATACATAGAACAAATGCAACCTAAATTTCATATTTTTTACGGAAATGTACAGAGAAAGTAGAAAAGATTGTGTAGACAGAACGAAAGAATATATTTGTTTTTGCTGCAGATTTATCTACTTGCATGACAATTAACATTTGAAAAAAAAATTAATTCAGGATATTTAATCAATTTACTTTAACAATAAATGTAACATAAATTTTAATTGATTTTTTGCTTTTTATATTATACTCAATCTTAAAATAAATTCAATAATTTTAAAGCTCATTTAAATTAAAAAAATTCTGATCCAATATTTTCCTTTACATTTCTGTATATTAGATATTGCGAAATATTTTATTGGATATAAGTCATCTTTTTGGTCATTCAATTATTCCCATTAGTCTGATCTTTCTTCAATTATTTATTTTATATTTGCTCAAATAGGAAAATCTTCAATTATATGGAATCAAATAGTGCGCCCACATGCACGATAGCTTATACAGCTCATGGTTGCGTATTTTTTCTTCTTGAGCTTGTGGCCTTGAACTTGACAAGTGATAACTCTCTCTCTCTCTCTCTCTCTCTCTCCATATATATGTGGTTTAAAATTAAGTTGTTTACTTAATTCCTCACTTTGTTCAAAAATTGGAAGCAGAAATTGGTGGAGAAAAACGATGTTGATGACATTAAGTTGTATGGTGAAGAAAATAATGCGACGCACAGTGCAAAATGTGAAAGATTGAGAGCAGAACAAGAACAGAGAGAACCGTAAGAGAGAAGGAGACAAGGAGTGAATTAAGAATTGTATATTCATCTATCTGATTACATAATAATGAACTATATATAGACAGTTTGTACAGTAACATATAAGCAAGAAAGTACAATTGCTGATGTGGCAAGGCCGTTGCAGAGAGACCTTCCAGTAGGTTCTTAACATCCTCCCTTAAATTAAACATTCTATGGTTGAATGGTTAATTTGGAACATAAGAATTGAAACCAGTTGACAGAAAGGGCTTTGATTAATATATCCGCAAGCTGGTCGGCGGTGCAAACATGAGTGATACTTATGTTGCCCTGTCGAATGTGATCACTAATGAAATGGTAGTCGATCTCGATATGTTTGGTTATGGCGTGAAAGACAGGGTTGTTTGCCAAGGCTATGGTGGATGTGTTCCCACAACTAATCGTAGTAGGAGATGTCGGAGGTATACCAAGTTTGGCGGCTAGATGTCTGATCCACAAAATGTCTGAAGTGGCGGCTGCTAAGGATCTATATTCCGCCTCTGTTGAAGACCGAGTTATAGTGGTTTGTTTCTTGACCGACCAAGAAATCAGGTTGGGTCCAAGAAAAGTGCAAAAGCCCGACGTGGACTTCCGGTCGATGGAGTTAGCTGCCCAGTCAGCGTCTGTATAACTGTGAAGTTGTAGTGTACCGACTGTTCGAGGTATACCGTAGCTGATGGATCCTTTGATATAGCGTAGAAGTCGTTTTAGAGCTTGGTAGTCGCAGATTCTTGGCTTATGCATGTGTTGACAGAGGGTGTTGGTGGCAAATGAGATATCTGCCCGGGTGATGGATAGGTATTGCAGCGATCCGGCGAGCTTGCGAAACTGTTGAGAATCCGCATAAGGTTGTTCGTCTGCTGAGCTCGGAGGTTTAGTGGGTACGGGTGATGGCGCCGGCTTGCATTCGGACATTCCTGCATTGCGGAGGAGATCATGTGCGTAGTGTGATTGATTTAAAAAATAGCCAGAGTTGGTTTTAATCACCTGGATGCCTAGGTAGAGGGATATGTTGCCGAGCTATTTGAGACTGAAGACTGAGTTCAGGCGTTGCATGATCTGTTGGATTTTAGCGGAATTGTTGCCGGTGACTAGGATTTCATCGACATATATTAGTATAAAAATGTGAGTGTCTTCTTGGTTGAAAAGGAGGGAGGGATCGGCTTTGCTGAACTTGAAGTTAAGGGTCTGAAGGAAGCGCGTGAGTTTTTGAAACCATTGGCGAGGTGATTGTTTGAGTCCATAGATGGATTTGTGAAGCTTGCATACATATTGCAGATGTATGGCGTCTTGAAACCCGCGCGGTTGCTTCATGTAGACTTCGTCCTATAGATCACCGTGAAGGAAGGCATTTGAAACGTCGAGCTGTGTGATCGGCCAATTGTGGTATAGTGCCACCGAGATGAGCCTTCTGATGGTGACCATTTTGGCCACTGGACTAAAGGTCTTAGTGAAGTTGACGCCAAATTCTTGAGAGCATCCTTGAGCGACTAAGTGTGCTTTATATTGAGCGACTTGTCCATTGGGAAGAAGCTTTTTCTTGAAGGTCCATTTACTGCCTAAAACCGGTTTGTTAGCAGGAGCGGGAACAAGAGACCATGTCCCTTGTTTTTGCAGGGCGAGGTATTCTGTGGACATGGAAGAACGCCATGTGTTGTGTTTGGATGCCTCGGCGTATGATGTGGGTGTAGAATCTGTAGAGTGAGTGACAGATAAGTCAAAGATATGCTTCAGTTTAGAGATACCTAAACGTAACCGAGTTAGCATGGGATGTCTAGTAGGTTGTGGATATGCCAAGATGTCAGTCTGCCTAGAGCTTGAAATGTGTTCTGACGAACTGCTGCTCTGAGAGATGGGTTGGAATTCTGGGGTTGCCTGAGTAACATTCTTTGGCTTACATGTAGTTTGCTGAACTTGTTGTATTCTGGAGGTCACGGTGGAAGGAGGAACCAGTAGGAGCGGAGAGTAATTTTTGTTGTTGCTTGGCATAGAAGAAGCAACGATAGGCTGGTTTATTTTATAAGGAAATATGTGTTCATAGAACACTACATGCCGAGAGATGTATAGACGATCTTGACTACTATTGTAGCAGCGATATCCTTTGTGCTGAGTTGAGTAGCCCAGGAATATGCATTCTTGAGATCGTTGAGAGAGTTTAGTCGGGGCGTATGGCTTAGTCCACGGAAAGCACAGACACCTGAAGGTGCGAAAGTGAGTGTATGTAGCCTGAGTGCCGTGTAGGCGAAAGTAGGGGGGTTGATTTTGAAGCACAGACGACGGAAGACGGTTGATGAGGTAATTGGCGGTGGACGTGGCTTCAGCCCAGAATGAGAGCGGTAGTTGAGCCGCAGTAAGGAGGGTTCGGGTAAGGTCGAGGATGTGACGGTGCTTCCGTTTGGCTGTGTCGTTCTGCTCTGGAGTGTGCGGACAGCTAGTTTGCTGGGTGATGCCTTGTTGAGCCAGGTAAAGACGGAAAGCCGTGCTGGTGAATTCACCGCCCCCGTCGGAGCGGAGCGTCTGAATTTTAGCGCTAAATTTGTTATTAAAATGATTACAAAATTGTTGAAATTTACCAAACACTTTGTCGTTTGATTGAAGTAAGTATAACCAAGTAAAACGAGTAAAGTCGTCTATAAACGTGACATAGTAATGACTAATGAAAACCATTTTTAGACTGAGTAGGAGCCGACCCCCAAACGTCTGAGTGGACGAGTTCAAAGGGCTTATTACAACAAAAGCTACTACGAGGAAATGGTTGTTTGTGTGATTTAGAAATGTTACATGAAATGCAAATAGACGTAGAGAAAGAATGAACTAAATCAGGAATAGTTTTTGCAAAAATGCTGAGTTTGCAGCCATGAGCATGGCCAAGCCTATCGTGCCAGAGGTTGGAATTCTACGGAGGCATCGCGAGGGCCACTGCTTTAACCTTGGTAGGAGCCTTGATGTGGTACAGACCATTGCGTTTGGGACCGCGGAGAAGCACCTGGTTGTCCTGAAGATTCTTTATAACGAATTCATTAGCAGTGAAAGAAATGGAAACATTATTATCAGAAGTTAGACGCGAAACAGAAAAAAGATTATGCGATAGGCAAGGAACAATCTTTATGCCTCTTGGATCATTCAGCGGGCCAAGGTTAAATGGCTTAAATTTGGGGAAGATGATATTGAGTTTCTTTATGCTAAGATTAGGAGCCGTATGGGAAGTAGAAAGTCAATTTCTAATCTTCTCAACTCTAATCCCTCCTCCAATAGATCTGATGTGGCTGCTACTATCACTCAATATTTTCAAGCATTATTCAACCCTTCTACTACTTATCTTCTGGATGGGGAGGAATGTCCTATTGGTGTTGCTGTTTCGAATTGTTATCACCGCTCTTTGACCGCCCCTGTAATTGAAGAGTAAATCAAGGCTGCGGTCTTTTTGGGCTCCTCCAATTCTGCACCTGGTCCTGATGGGTTCAACTTTCACTTTTACAAGCCTAGCTGGCACATCATTGGGCCAACTGTCTGTAGAGCTGTTCAATCCTTTTTCTCAAAGTGTTATATGCCTAACGGAGTCAAAGCTACCGCTCTAGCTTTAATTCCTAAGCATAATACTGTTGTCAGCTTTTCTGACTATAGACCTATTACGTTGTGTAATGTGGTGTATAAAATTATTGCAAAAGTTATTGTTGTCAGGCTTAAGCCAGTTATGAACATCTTTGTTAAAGACAATCAAGCTGGGTTTCTCAAGTCTAGAGTATCTACTGACAATGTCTTGCTTGCTTCTGATATTTTGTTTCATGCGGGGAAAAGAGGAAATGAGAAAGTCTTTTGTGCTAAGTTAGACATAAAGAAAGCGTTTGATTCAGTTTCTAGGGATTACCTTATTGCTAGACTTGTTCAAAAAGAGTTCCCTAGTCGTTTTGTTAACTGGATAAAAGCTTGCATATTTGATGTCAATTTTTCTGTCCTTCTCAACGGTGCTCTTGAGGGCTACTTCCCTTCTTCGTCTGGGCTAAGGCAGGGTTGTCCTATGAGCCCCTACCTCTTTTGCCTTGTTATGGATGCCTTTTCCAATCTCTTAGAGGATAGGGGTTTTAAGGGGATCTCTATGAACGGTTATACTATTTTTCATTTCCTATGCGCTGATGATGTACTTATTTTTGGGAAAACCTCACTTGAAAACTGCAGCTTGCTGGTTTCCATACTTCATGATTTTGCTTGTGTCACTGGTCTTCACGTCAATTATGATAAGAGTGCCATCATGTTTCCTAAACATGTGCATAATTACAGTGATTTCTGCAATGCTCTCTATTCATAACATTACTAGCAAGATCTCTTACCTGGGAATTCCGTTGTCTTTCTATAGACTTAAAATTGAGGATTATTTGTCATTAATGGATTCTATTAACAAGAAGTTCACGGGTTGGAAGGCCACTACTCTTTCTCTTGCCGGCATACTTTAATACTTGAAGTTTACTATTCATAATACTATTGCTTATTGGATAAGGGGTGCCATCTTACCAAAAGCTGTTCACAAGTTCTTTAAAAAATCTAGCTCTAGATTTTTATTTTTTGGGGACATTAATTCCAATAAGAAATTTCATATAATTGCCTGGGATAAAGTATGCTTACCCTACTCTAAAGGTGGTATGGGGATTTCTTCTATTCCGGCTATGCAATTTCCTTTTAATTGCTCTGTGATTTTAAGGTTATACAACTCCCCTTCTCCTCTTTCTTCCTGGCTGTTTAGTAAGTACAGCTCTCCTTGGAGGCCCCCTTCAGCTGCTGCTTCCAGGTTCTGGAAATCCATACGCAACACGGCTTTTGTTGCTAAGCATTGTTTAAAGTTTAAAATCACTAACTCTGCCCCCATCTCTTTGAAATGGGATCACTGGATTGAGAACTGCAATCTTTCTGAATTCATGGGTAATGTTAACCTGGCACTTATTCCTGACATAGCTCTATCCAGTATTATTTCTGAATCTATGTGGGCTATTCCTGATTCTTTTTCTTCCAGTTTAAGAGATGTTTTTTCGGGTATAAATGACATTGCGGGTGAGGGGCCCTGTTTGTTTTGGTTTGATAAGGTGAAAAGCAACTTTAAAATCTATATGGTGGAATTTTATTCGGAAATTCCTGATTGCAGCTGGTATGATATGGTTTGGCATAAGAGAAATGCATTAAAATTTTCTGTTTTTGCTTGGTTGGCTAATGTGGGAGGCCTCAAAACTGCTGATGCGCTTCGTATTAGGAATATATTTGTTCCTAGCTTATGCACACTCTGTCATTCTAATGATGAAACGGTTTCTCACCTATTTTTTGAATGCCCTTATTCATTCTCTATTATGTCTGGTTTATTTTCTGGGATGCGCAACTTTCTTCTTAGGCCAAACATTTACCAGGTGTATGATTGGCTTAATGGGAAATACAAAGGGAATTCAGAGGTGTTAAACTTTTACAAACTAGTTATTTCCTCTATCATTTATTTTATTTGGAAAGAGAGGAACAATAGAATTTTTTGTAAACAAATTCAATGCCATACTTCTTTACTGTTATGTATCAAGAGAGCTATGTTTGAGAAGATTGTGAAATGGAGAAATGCTTTGGATTTTCTGGATAGGTTGTAATATGATTCACTGTGTTTTACACGCTGCTTTGCTGCTGTCCCGTGCAATCGCAGATATGGCCTCCTGGACAATGATGAAACTCCCCTCACAATCCCTTGGACGGTTCATGGGTTCCTATGGGCAACTAGGGTTGTGTATGATCTGCTATTTTCTGTCTCAATTATTCACTTATCTGAGTCCAGGTTCTATGGCCATGGGAGTTTTTTGGCCTACAATTTTGATTCTGGATGGTTTCCTCTCTTCTGATCGTGGGATATGTTGCTGGTCTCTACATCCTTCTTGCTGATCTCCGGGATATTCTGGAGCTTTTTGTTTCCACCTGTTCACTTATTATGGGTTATTCAGTCTTTGGTTGATTTTGTATCTTGAATGTTATTTCTGATGCTTTTTGGTTGCCATTTACTTGTAATTTTGTCTTCTTTTGGGCTTCTTCAAGCCAGCCAGTAATGGCTTTAGTCCTTTTTTCTTTACATGTAATCCTCTTTGTTTAATATACGGGCTATGCCCAAATTTTCCCCAAAAAAAATAAAAATAAATTCTATCTAAACTGACAGATATTCTTTAGAAATTTTAAGGAAACTCTTCTGAAACTTAGTGGAAAATTCTATGGAAACCCTACAAAAATGATTTGAAAACTCAATCAAAATTCGGTAAATTTCTGTTGAAACTTTATCAAAATTCTTGAAGAATTCTGCTCAAATTGAATAGAAATTCTGTTGAGATTTCGTTGAAACTCTACCAAAGCTTTGTTGAGACTCAATCAAATTATAAGCTGTGCCAAAATTCGGACAAATCAAACTCTACCTATGTGGAGCCGAACTTAGGTCAATCGACCCTGCTTTTCTTTTGTCTCTTTTTTTCTCACCCTGATAAGAAGCCAAGATTCACTAACATCAACCAGACTGCATCCTTTGTTGATGACCAGCTATTGATAGACTATCAATGACTTTCTACAGAAAAGAAGTGAACTCTCACTTAGGGTGATCTACCTCTTCTGAATTCTTGCTGTTTTTAACATCTACAAATTCAGTGCACCATTGCTCGACATCTCTTTAACTACTCCAATAGAAACGACATATTGACACTTAATATCAAGATCAAATCTAATGGTTTTCGACTTATGTGTTCTCCGGTTAAAACATTTTGATCCATTTTACCTGCTTGTTTTTTTAACATTTTGAGTTCAAACTGCAGAATTCTCTTCTAAAACATAAGAATATTTCCAGCAAACAACAAACATAACGATGAAAATAAGGCCTGTATGCACTAAACTTTGTGAATTCAGCCGTACAAAAATGATGGTTTCTTAAATCAAATATTCGTCATATGAAAGAATTTAAACCCCAAAATGTTAAACTTGAGCAAAAAAAATTCACCTAGCCATGATGGATGATGCTTCAAAAGCTTTTTTTCCTTTAGGTAATGCTCTTTATGCAGTAAAAATAAATCTAGTTGGCGGAATAACTCCTAAATAACATAAATGGTTTTTAATTAATTATTATCTAATAAGACTATAATAAAAATAATAGCAATATTCAAAAAACACTATTATCTATAAACTGCTATACGTTTTAATCAATATTATCTTATATATTAATGTTATTTATAAATTTATCATTTAAAGATTTCCCGAACCTGCAATTAATTAATAGTATAACATTATATAATAAATGGCATCCACCAAACAGCCTAATCTAAAAGCTTGGCATTAGCAAGCCTGTAACTGCACCCCGACTACATGCATATGCCATTATAAAGAAACAGGCCGAAGAAACAAGGCCAAAATAAGATAAAAAATTACAGTGCTCAGCTTTTTAGCTCCAAATGTTGTAGCATACGCAAAAACATAAAATTATAGGAAGCTCAAGGCATTATACCATGCAAAAAGACTTTAGAAAGAATATATAACAACTATTTTTCTAGCTTGGAGCAACTGTTAATTAAAATGCGCTTACTAATATTCTCAACTGTATGCATATTTGGACAAAAAATTTGAAACAACTTCAGCAGTCTCATAAGCACCTTCAACACAACGTCCCAAGGCCACGCCTGTAACATAATTTCCTCCAAGAAACAAACCTTCAAATCCACCTTTGCGCAGGGCGCCTCTGGCAGCTTCTAAATGGTCGAGATGGCCAATTAAGAACTGAGGTATGGCTCGAGGCCAGACTCGTACCCCAAGGACCAAAGGCTCTTTGGCTGCTGGATTTATAAGCATTTTGCGAAGATCGCGATCAACATCTTCCACAAGATCACTCTCCTTCTGCGTGAAAAGGCAATACATTATGAAAAATTTTCTAGAATATCATCTATGTCTCGCTCACTGGTAATATTCCTGGAATTTACTAGTTTGACGGGACAGCATAAACCAAACTATTAGCTCCCTAACAGAAGAAACATTTCATGATATCGACATGAAAAAATATAAAAAATTGCCTTAGGCGTATCTCATCAATGAAAGCGAAAGAAAAAGGGTTTCTGACGGCCATCCCTGATGCATCCGTCTTCCCTCATGTTCGTATCTGGCAGAATCCGTTAGCAAAGTGCTAAACATTAAAATTTAGGTGTTCTTAAAATATATAATTAATAATATTTTGAGTGAGATGTATGTAAATCCCTCGTTTTCTCATTTAACATGGCAAGGCAGAAGCAATAAATTTCTCAAAAGAGAGGGATTTTTCATTAAAAAAAAAATGTCTACCACGAGTGCTTGCAGATTTTTATGTATTTATTTATATTAAGAGATAGAGAAGGTTAGTCATTCACATCAAAAACACATAATCACTCGTCAGTTGGATTATCATAGACTCCTTTAGTTGTTTTGCAAGTCTCCATTTAGGAAGCCACGCTGAAAAAATTAGTTCAAATCCCATTGATAATAAAACCTATACAAATACAAGTATACAAAGCAAACTTTCAGGCATTTCTCATTCTAAGTAAAGAAGATCCCAGTACTTACTCAAAAAATTTACACGTTCCAGTTTCTAGTGTCTCAAAATCATAGAATATATTCGGTAGAAACCAAAGGGATAAGTACCTTGGACAAAATTACTGTATTGGTAGATCCACCAATATAGCTAAGAAGGAGCACCCTTCCTGGAGGAGCACGGTTTGGAAATAGTGAGGAGCTATAAATAGTTCCTGCCAAGCAGAAAAAAAAAACAAATCAAGAACCTTCTCTTCAAAAATTAATTCATGCACCAGCTTGTGAGGACATTAAAATAAAAGAGAGACTACATTCCACTCCATTCCTGTACGTATCAAGGGCGGATTTTTTAATATGTACTAGGAATAACAATTGTTAAAGAAAAAAGAAGCGTTATTCAACTACTAAATACCTAAAGTCTCAACTCCTTGACTGCGTGGATGCAATTGCCCAAACCCCTTAAGTTCACCATCTATTAAGCATTCTCTCCGAATTGCCTCCTGTGGATACGAAATAGAAACAGCTGCTACTGGGGGATAATAAAACTTCGACAGAGAATCTGCAGCTACATTCTGAAAAGATGGAAAAAAAAGGTATAAATAAGCTCCTCGAACAAAAATTCAAGGGAATGATCGTAATTCGTAACAGTGTTATTTAATGTCATTAAGGTGTCTATCAGATGTTGTGTTTGACTGGTTTTCAAATAGCCTCACATCAACATGCTGCTTGATTAGAATTGAAATTTAATTTAAATATATGATAGTGTAAGATGCTATTCAAAAGGCCTTTATGTTTGTGTCGGACATTACATGCCTTTGACAGGCCTGACATAGCCGGTACATGTGTTGAGATGGACAAAACGTGCACAAGTTATTACTGGTTCAATAAATTTAAGTTGGATGGTTAATGAATGTACCTATGCCAGGTTTGTTGGGTCCAGTTATATATACATCAATGTGTTCCTATTGTGTGATTATTTTGAAGATTATACTATAATTTTAAAAGTAATTTGGTATTTTGTGAAAAGAATGCAATATTAAAATCATGTTTAATGAATCATGCTAATGCTAGTGAATTGTTGAGGATTATGTACACTTGATATTGAATCTAATTGAAATAAAAACAATTTTAGTTTTTTTTGTTGTTGATCAAACTTTTATCTGGTATGTACTTACAAATGATAATATATTTCATTGTGTAATCTCTTTTTATAAAAAAATATTATATGCCTTTTTCTATTAATAATTTGTTAAAAAAGCCATTGTGTTATGCTGTGCCATGTCCTATTTTTTACAGCTTTGTTATATCCCCATGTTTGTGTCACATCGTATCTATCATCTAAGTATTCATGCATCACAGTGAAGATGCTAGCATCCCAAATAGGTGAAATCTATTATATATAGCATGGCATAGCATTTCTCAGTAAAAAAAAGAGAAAATTTTAAAACTGAGCACAATTAGAAAACGTATTAAGCGCCTAAGCACGATTTTAAAAAAAATTCAAATTAGACAAAGTCATCAGTTTAACCGGCAATTTACCCCTGACTAATTTGGTCAAACGTCTGTCGTGGCTCGCTAACATGGTAAACATAAGTCGCCTGTTAAATGGACGACTTTGGCCTTGCTTAGAAAAGGCACTTTCCCATCAGATTTTCTCCCTCACCCAACTGATGTTTCCTCTTCCATGTGCCCTACATCGCTAATCTGCTCTTCACTGTCGGTTGGGGTGTTTAGGTAAGCAAAGTTTTGATTTCTAGGCTTATTTAACTATGTTATTTGTTGATAAGAACTAATTTTACTTAGAGGAGTTTAAGTTTCAGAGAGAAATGGAGATATACAGATTTAAGCTTTTTTGTTGATTTTTTGTTAGTTCTTGTAATGTAGTTAGGGAAGAACGATTACATCATATTTTTGTGAGCAATTTGTGTTTTTTTTATTCTATTGTCATGGAGAAGATGTTAGAAGCAATCTTCTATTTCCATGGAGAAGATATTGGAAGCAATCTTCTAATTAGTCTTGTATTTTCTTATTTCTTTAGGAGCAGTAAATCTAAATTCAATTTAATTTCATTGTAAAACTGAGCATCATTTGTATAATCTGATCAATTTGTTCTAGTGAAACATTATTTGTTTTCAAAATATTTTGGCAGTAGCAGCATGAAGTTTAAAGCAAAAATATTTTGTAGTTGTTGAATCATGTATATTTTGAAATTATATATTATATTGGTTAACCTTTATAATGTATTAAGAGAATTATTTTGACAATTTGAAAAGTTATTTTAATAGTAATAGTCGGTATTGTAATTTTAAGTTTCATATACCAAGTAGCAATATAACCTTGTAAATTAATAATAATGTATACGATGAGGACATCCGACCATTGAGAGTCTACCAGAGATGGAACAGACGATCTACGACCACGATCACATTGCTTTATTTTTAAGTTATTATATGTATTTGATTTATTATCGCAGTTTTTTCGTTTCTACCCTCACTTGAGGGAATAGTTGTTTGTAACCCCTAGGGGTATTGATGTCTTTTATTTCTTCATTGTAAGCATTAGCTATTTAAAACCCTCCTCTTTGAAGAGGGTAATGATGAATATTATTAAAAAACTTCTACACTTTGTATTTTGGAGAGCTTGAGAGTTCTTGTGAGAATTCTTGGAGAGCTTGAAGTCCCCAGGTGAGGGCGATGCATCACCCACCAACCGCATGAAGCGTTTGGGTTCGTGGTTCCTCTCTTCTCCCTAAACCCTAAGATCTCATTCCCCTCCATAGTCACCGGCCGATTCTCCCTCAATCCCCTTCAAAGCCGCTGGCCATCTCCTCTCTTCCCTCAACCTAGCCGTCGGGCCCCAAGCTCCACCCAAATCCTAGCCGCCAATCAAACCCTAACCCTACTCCTAACCACCTCCCAAACCGAAGCCCTAGTCCTAGCCGCCGGCCACCCCTAACCCTACTCCTAAGTCATCGGCCCCAATCAATCCCTCTCCTAGCCACCAAAATTCTTTAGAAATAAATAATGACTAGGATGCTGATACGCCCTAGGGTTTCTCAATTTCGGTTTTGCTCTAATTCCCCTCAAATGAAGAGAATTTATCCACCAAATCCAAAGAAAAGCAATCACAGGAGAAATGGGACGAAGAACAGAAAAACAATTCTATTAATATTCAAGAGAAAATAAGATAAGTTTGTCTAATTCGAGAAGGGCAATATCTCCCATTACAAACTCTAGAAAAGCAAAAAGAAAACACTAGAAAAGTTTCAATCAGCATGAAGAAAAACTGAACCCTAATTGCCCCCTTAATACCATCCCAAATTCATCCCACCTCCCTAAATTACCCCTCTAAAACAGCCATATAACCTCCTCAACAACCATGTAACCTCCTTAACAACCATGTAACCTCCTCCAAAACAACCATGTACCTCCCCCCCATGATGCCTACGATCACATAGGTGGGCCTATGGGGCCCACCGTGGCTTCTTCTTGGCCCACCGTGGTTTCTCCTTACTCCCAGCGGGTTAGCCCGTCTCCCCTTCTCCTTCTGTAGACCCGCACGGGTTCAGAGGGATGGACCGGTTGAACTGGTCCATCAGATGCACCATCATTAAATAGAACTCTGCAAAACTTATTTAAAATCTGAAGAATACATGTAACTACCTCGTCTAAATCTTTGGCTTCTTGAGGTTTGATGGAAAATACTCAAGTTTTCACAAGTTGATTACCTTTTAACATCTGATGCTTCTCCTCTTGGTAGAATTGGTAGCTTCCCTTGCACAGCTGGCTTTCCCTAAAACTGAGTTTTCCCTACCTAATGGCCTTCCACATATCTCTTATGTCATTCTTGCTCCAGATATCCCTAATATCTCTGTGGCCTGACATTATTTCTTTTCTCCTGAGGGCAGTCCACTTGCGATGACTCAATTTTCCGCATCTAAAACAACTTCCAGGATCCACTAAACACTAGCCAGATGCCTCTTCCCGTATTAATCACATAGAGGTTTCTCAAACTTTGGCTTGTCATTTCTAAATTGATCCCCTTTTTCAAACATCCGCTTTTTTTCCTGCTTGCTGCTGCTCCTAGCTGTGCTTAGAGAAGTACAACTCATTCTCAATTCTCCTGGCTCTCACCACTAAGACTGAAAACTTGTTGGTATCGAAAGGTGCTAATGCTAATCTCAGTTGATCCTTGAGGTGCACACCCCGTTTTGGCCTCTCTAAAGTCACACTAGAGTGTAACAAAGAAGGAGAATCTAAACAGACCTTTTTCATACTTACCCCTAATCTGAAATGCTGATATCAGAATTGGAGAAGTAAAAAGTAGTCTATTCAAACTATCCTTAACAAGATTAAACATAACACATCTAGATTTTCATAATAGGAAGAATATATAATTTATATCTCAACTAAATTGTACATCTCAAATGAAATACAAAGTTTTACTAAAACCTTTAAAAATTTACTTACATACCTAAAAGTTTGTACAGCTATCACTCAAATCTCTTTGTAGATCTTTTTGTACACCCAAAACATATGTACACAAAAAAAACAGTCACCCCTTTTCCGCCTAATGCCCTACGGACTCCTCTTTTCCTGCAGTACAACCACTACTAATGAGCTATGGCTCAATGCAATACAAAAGCAATATATAAGAAATAATAATATTATTATTTGGCAATTAAGAATTTCATAACATTAACAATAACACGGGTATAACATATTGAAATTTCATACTGATCGTAAGAAATTCATAGCATTATTTTCCATATTGCTATTTGTTCAACGCATTAAAATAAGTCATATAATGGTTATAAGCTTTGCATCCTTTCAGCTTTCTAATTCAAGATTTATTCCAAATTCCCAACTTTTATAATTAAAATTGCTCTCTCATTCAAGGTTGGGTCCAGTTTCTCACTTTTAGAATTGAGAGTATAGGCTTACCTCGTTATGTCTTTTGACTTTATTTGTGCGGGCTTATCCCCCTATATAGGACTTAAATCACTTTTCCATCATCATTCATTCCTCATAATCATACAATGCTCATATGATCATTACTATTAAAAAAATCAACAAATTAAAATTAACAGAAATAAATGCTATCATAACATAACATAATAAATATGAATTTACAACTTATAAATTTTTTACTTTCTATGCATTGTTTAGGTATCTAACCTCACTTGGAATTCATTCTTTATGTTTTCTTCTCCTTTTGTACACCACCTCAATTATACTCTTCCTCATTTGATCTACAATTCCCTTTCTGAATTCAATATAGCAACATTTATTCCAGCAAATATAAGAATCAAATTACACTGGATTGATTTCAGCATTTCTTCCATTTTTCTTATTGATTTCAGCCAACAGGAGCTAAAGTATGAAATCTGATTTCAGCTATCTCAATTTCAGCAATTCCTCAATGAAATTCCTCCAATTGTTTTCAACAAACATATCAATATCTAACCTAATTTCAGCAACTCTGCAACTCTGCAGCAGTAATATTATCTAATTTAAACAAACCACATCTCATTTCAACTAAATAGCATGTTTAGACATTAATTACAACATCT